TTTATGGTTTTCAGAAAGAAAAACAGTTTGATCAGGATTTCTTAAATATACTTTCATCTAAATAACTATGAGACCATTTTGGCTTGGGGCAGCTATGAAGAGTTAGAAAATAGAAAGAGAAGATAAGCTTATATGTTAAGAATAAATTAATTCCTGTATGTTACATTAGTATTCTGGTTAAACAGAATTTGATCAGTCTTTCTAATAGTATTGTTGACTGAAGAAACACTACTGTTTAGACACTTTAGGTAATTGGCTGTGCTTTTACTTGAATGAAATAATTGATCAAAATATTAATATACCGCTCATTTAAATTTTAAAGTTCAGACTCGCTGATCTTGTAGAAGCAATACCAAGGCTTTCTTTTTCAGGAGAATGGAAGCAGTCTGCTTTGAGGTGTTTGAGAGAACTAGCAGCTCTTATATGATTGCCTGCTGTGATTTACAGATTTGTACATTTTACCTAGGAATACAAGAAGTTAGATTTACTGACACAGTGGTTTCTTATGCCTATGTTTACATTGCCTTAGGTATAGTTGCTGCCATCTTTAATCATCTGTATTTCTTCTTCCAATGGTCATTTGATTCTGATGTCTTGGTTCCTATTATGTCTTTATTTTTATACATCTCGAATTTTGTATTAATTTTTAAAAATCTTCTGGTTTACGATTCCATTTTCCTTCTGCTCTTTAATCATTAGAAGCTTACTGGTTGAAATGCAGGCACTCACTGGCAGTTTCTTAACCCAATCTCTAATTGCCTACTTTTCTGAAAAAGTCCTTTCTAGGATTTTGTGTTATGCTATTTTAGGCAGTTTTATGTAAATAGAAGGTAGAACCTTGAACTGCATTAACAGCACTGGTGTGTAGCCTTTTATTTAAGAGTTTCAGCTAGTCGCTGATGTCTTAGCAACCTTAATAAAATGCATCAGAAACAGAATATAAGGAGGATCAGCTTGCAGCACTGTGACTTTCCTGCAGCCAGTGATGAGGTGTATTTTAATAAAGCTGGGATAAAAAGGCAGTTTTGTTTGGGTTTTAATTAGTATTAAGTTCAGGCTATGCTATGTAGTGTGGATTTCGAATACCAGTCAATAATGATACTTTTTATCGATTTCTGAACAAAAGAACAGGACTCATCTCCTACCATTATTTTAGGAAGTATGCAATATAAACTGTGCCCTCTTGGAATTTTTTTATATTTAAATCTGTGGTAAAACTGTGCTGAAATTACTTTTGAGGCCAGCACAAGATGCTAATCTACTGTCCCAGAAACATGTAGAAGGAGAAAGCAATTGCCAGCTTTGGTTTAAGATTCATTTTGGTCTAAAAGAAAATAATATGAGAGTTAATTTAATGTGAAGAACAAGATCTGATTACCTGCCAATTTTGTGTGGGTGTGTCAGTCACCTTGACAACTAAACATCATAATGAAATCCCAGGTGTGGGCATCTGGTTATGCAGATTTGTAATTAATTTGTATGTGCAAAATGGTTACTCAGGACAATAACCAGTTGCAGTGATGCAGATGTCATATAGGGGATATAATGAAAATGTAATTTCATAAATGAGTAAATATCTGAGGGGTTATTAATATTGACCTTAATGGCTGCAGAGATGATGGCACAAGTACTTTATAATGGATATAAGTATCAAGAGTTCCATTCAACACAGTTCAGGTTACAAGAAACTATCCTTGATGTGTTTTTGTGTTGTTTTTTTTTTTAGTTTTTTTTTTTTCTGTTGTTTTTGTTTTTAATTTTTTTTATTAGGCTTCTTGGGCTTTTTATTAGAAGAAATTAAAAAGACAAAGCAGCATCATTCCAAAAATGATGTAATGGATAAAATTCTGGTTTCCTTGGGCTATAAGGACTTCATTAAATGTTCACAATATCTCTTGGTTAGCTGTTCAGGCAAATTTGAAACCCTCCAGATGACCTCCGATACTAAACCAATCAGTATAATGTATCATGCATATAAAGTGGTAGTAACCTTGAATCAGTACCCCAAAAGTATATCCCTGAATCAGGTACCCCAAAAGAAAAAATGCACACATAGAACAACATAAATTCAAGAACTGAGCCTTGTGGGAGTCTCCAAACATGCAAATCTGATTGGAAGAAAACCCACACAAAATAATAAAGTGGGAGTCATTTTCTGATCTTCTCCAGAATCCTAAGGTCTGCTTCATTTTACCATCAGGGATAGAGAAGAAAAGCTTCTAAGTCAGCCAGCATCAGATTGATTCATAAAGCAAACAGGAAAAGTATTATGAGGCAAGGCTTCATGCTATGATAGACATCTAGGAATACTCATCTTTGGCAGTCTATTCATCTTTGGCTAAGGGGGTGGAAACTCTGGTTTCTCTCCCTCGGTAATGTGTGGAATCCTGTTTATATTCCAACTCAGTTTATGTGGCCTTGGGGAGCAAAGTCTGGTCTTAGAATTAGCTGTAATTTTTGCTGATCAGATAGTGGTATGACTGGCCAACTATTTTTCCATGACTTTTGTAGGAGAACTGTATGACAAATCTATGACATACTCAGTTTTTCAAAACATTGGTGTAGTGAAGGTGCTTGCTTTATCTGAGACAAACAGATGGTGGTGATTGAGAGATTTCCCCGTATAGGTGATTTGCAAAGAATTCTCTCTTTTCACAATGTGGAGAGTTAGTTGTATGTAGGAAAAACAAGGAAAAAAGACAATTCAGATATACTTCTTCGTAAATGCCAAGTGCGAAATTAGAAGTTCACCATTGCTGTATGTTAGAGGTAGTTTAAATAATATATGAAGGTGTATCTGCAGTATATTTGGTGTAATAAAAAAGCATGCAGACTTACTTAACTTTAGGTATGCATTCAAACACACTTGTACCTACTCTGACTCTTGCAGGCAGTGCTGTGGTTTATCAAGATATCAATAGGCTACTTCAGGTCGGAATCTTAATTTAACAGTTAATCTAACCTTTATGCTTTTGTGCATCCCTTCTATGGAAACAGCAGAGTGGGCAAAACAGAATAGGCAAGACAGAGTATATCCAAATCTTTCTTCTTTATATTACCAGGGTTCTTAAGAGCCTCAGTCATTAACTTAGGTATTTCTGTCAGCTATGGTGCAAACAAGGAATGAAGAACTTCCCATGCCATTAGAAGTTTGCAGGCTAAGTTCATGAACAAACAGAGGAGGCTGAAAAATGAGGTCAGACTAGTATGTTCTAAATGGTCTTGATATACCAGCCATTTGACCATAACTTGGCTACTTAACTGTAATCCTACAGATCATAAGTATTGATCCATTTCTGCATACATAAAATTTTCTGTTATCTATGGACAGCTTCTTTTATTTTAACCAAAAATGCATGCTAAACCTGACAATTTCAGGGTGGGTGGCTTGTTATTATATGATGTCATATACTACATTTCAAGTTAAGCAATCTTTGTTCAGTTAAATGAAACACACACAACTAAGTTATCTCTTTCAGTTATTTTAATATACTAGGCCACACAATTTTTTGAATGTATTCTATAAAGACATTTATTATCAGTAGATTTTAATTTAATAACATGCCTTAAATCACTCCTACTACTTAGTCTTTAAAGAGTGGTTGTTTTTCAAAGTAATTGATAAGCAATATGCTTGTTGCTAAACAGAACAAGAAACTGATAGTTTGTAATATAAAAAGCTATGACTTTTAAGCTTGTGGGTTATAAGATAGGCTAGACGCAGAAATGTGCTAGGATAGGCTGAGGAGGGGCAGGATAATAAATGTGCACAATCCATAGCTGATTATATCTTTGATTGTTAGTCTGTCAATTGTCAAGTTGTACACTGTTTGCTTCACTCAAGGGGATTTGAGAGATGGGAATAAAGGTAATTAGCACCCACAGTGTTATGCTTTTTTGATCATCCCCCCCTCCCTGAATTTATGCACGTGAGCTGGGAGAGGCACAATTGGGAAGGGACAATAGCTCAGGTTCTGGAGTCAACTAATGTCTTTGTGGTGAATTAACCTAGCCTCTCAGCCTACCAGGCAGAAATGTATTTGTCCTGGTTATGAAGTTCTTTCAAGTGTGTATGTGGAGCACTGGGGTAGAGGGAACAGGGAGAGAAAAACATCTACCATGGCATTCCTGTCCTTTACAGGGGAAGGACTCTAAAGGACTAGAAAGAGGACTATGTCTGTCCTGTTTCATTTTTGTTTTCTAATAAACTGCTCAGTTTGTGGGAAGAGTATAAGTATCACCAAATTCTTAAATGATGATGTTTCATTACAGCTCTACATTATTCTATGTAGATATGTGAGTTTTTTGTTGAGATCTCATACCGAGATACAACTCCTGTGTTTTATAAGAGACCAAGTGCTGCTGCCTTCATACTCCATTTTTATAAAGACCAGTCAATATTAATCCTGTTAATTATATGTTTTAACTAATGCAACTTATTTTTTCTTTTACCAATGTATTAAAATACATAAAAAATAGTATGAAAGTGTGAAAACTGAAATGTAATTGCTATTGTACAGGGTGCTGCATCAACCCACTATATAATTATTATCCTTAAAATGTCAAATTTAAATACAATGTCTTTAAATTGCATAATTCAGATATTAGAGGAAAAATTAAGATGAAACTACAGTAAAAGATTTTAAATGACTTACCAGTGTTTGAATTAGTAACACAATTGAATTAATTAAGTTTTGATGCTTAGGCAGAAACAGCAGCATTGTATTTAGACTAAGAAATTACTTACTGGCTTTGTCACCGTTGACATTAATTATTGATAGTGGTTTCAGAAATAGCGCATGTGCCATCAGAGTTGACTGTAATATAAGATAGGGACTGCAGTGATGCTAGAGGGACTACAGAGAGGGAAGCACCTGTAGCATTTGGAGTTAAATGCTTCTAATCACCAGACTTTTGTTTTGTTATAATAAATTCACATGAATGTTTAAAGTAATGGAAGGATGAGTCGTCAGGCTTATTTCTATCGTGTCCCTCCACAGGAATTACATAGAAGAACTCAACTTCAACCTGAGCCAGCAAAGACGAAGGCTCTTCAAACAGTTATTGAAATGAAGGTATAGTCTTTGCATGTTTTCTTGTACATTATTTTTGTAGCATGAACTTGTGTACGGGGTATGGCTGGGATGGAGTTAATTTTCCTCATAGCACCCTGTATGGTTCTGTGTTTTGAATTTGGGACCAAAACAATGTTGATAACACACTGATGTTTTAGTTGCTGCTGAACAGTGCTTACACAGAATCAAAGCTTTCTCAGTTTCCCACTCTGCTCTTCTTTCCTGGAAATAACTGAGCATCTGCCTGCTGATGGGAAGTAGTAAATGAATTCCATAATTTGCTTTGCTTGCATGTGCAGCTTTGTTTTATGTATTAAACTGCTTTACCTTGACCCACGAGTTTGCACTTTTGCCCTTCTGATTATCTCCCCCATCCTACTGGGGGGGAGTGAATGAGTGACTCTGTGACACCCAGCTGCCTACCAGGGTTAATCCACAACACCGTGATTAATAACTTTTACTATTGAATCATTAAATGCTTCCTTTTACTTCTCAGTTCATTTTGCTGTGAAGCTGGGAATAATTAGTATTTCTTTCTCCCAGTCTGTTTTCTTAATAAGACTTGATTAAAAATATCAGGCTCAGTGTTGCTGAAGAATGAGAACTGAATATTGCTGTTTAAAAAGATTCGGGGAGGGCAGGGGGAGTTTCAGGTGAGCCAAAGTAGGTGGAATAAACTGAAGAACAGAAGCAAACACAAACTGTCCAAAGCCAATTTAAAATGTTTTTCTTCTTGGTCTTTAAAAACAATACATGTGTTGATGGTTATTTGGCCATCATTTTATATCTACCCTAAGGAAAATATTAATGGCATCAGCAGAATGATATGACAAAATGTGATGAAACTCCTGTCTTAGTCCTGAATCTAATTTCCTCTTTTTGATATATAATATTACTAAAGTGTTGTGGCTTTTTTCACCACAATAACAAAAGATAAAAATAATAATTTAAAAAGTGAAAACTGGTATTTTTGCATAATTCCATGAGTCTGGAATGTACATATTTCAGAAAAATACCATGAGACTTGAGATAATTTGTGAGTTGGCAATGCTTCCTGAAATTCATTAATGATGGTCTTTCATTTCAGTCTTAAAAGGAAGTGCAAATTAAAGGCCTCATTTTGCCGGTGACTTCTGTTACGAGCAAATGAGTTCAGCATGTCTGAACATTGCGGTAAATACAGAGTTATAACAGGAGCAGGACTTCAGAAATACCATATCTGCCTTTTAATAGATAATAATTAGTTTGCATTATATGAGTAACAAAGAAGGTACTTTGATTTAAGTATTCCACCTTCTGATGTGCATTTGCCTTGGACCTTCCCTGTTTATTCTAGTTCAGAAATCTATGTATGAAATCTAAAACGTGTGTTTTTGCAGTAATTTGTTACCCGAAGTATATGGGAAAGTAGGATACTGGCTGAGAAACTTGTTTCTTTCCATTAAAATTCAGAATTATAAATTTTAAACTTTTAGGTCACCGAGATAGTGTGTTAGAATAATTTCTGGTCTTCCATGTGGGCTATTAACAATGTAAAGGTTATGTTGAAAAATAATTTGCAATTCCTCTTCCTGTACCAAAACTCTTTGAAAATACTGGGGACAGGAGGGGACATAACACATGTGGAGACTGTAGTTGCAGTCACTCTGACAGTGTCTGTACCTGAAGATAGGAAAAGTCTTTTCTGCTTGTTTCCCATGAGAGTTGGGTGTGGTGTAATGTTCCACTTTTTAAAAATCTGATCTTTGTAGAGAGGGCTTTCATTTGTCACGGGTGAGGTTGTAATCGTGTTGCTGGAACATTCTGATGCGAAGCTGCCTTTTGGCTCTGAGGCACACAGTTCTTTCTTTTTCTATGAACACAAGATCCTTTGGGGTTGCCCTGTCTAAAATAGGCCTAATATTGAAAAGAAAAAGGGACAAATGTAAGATGTTGAAATGCACATGATTAAGCAGCAGTTTTCATTACAAGTTCCAGCTTTGGAATGTTTTCAAGTAAATTTAAATTGTCTTAATCCAGACAGCATTTTTTTTTTTGTAAAATGTGGAACATTTGTTTTGAATGATCAAGCATTGAAGCAATAATTTCCCTGCAGTGTTGAGGGTAGAAGGAGGGAGAGGATTACCCTGTAATATGGCAATCTGAGGCTATATACTCCCCCATGACGAGGCTCCAAACAGTATACATTTCTCTTTACCGCACTCAACCCCTTCCATCCCCTTGCCACATTAGCTTTTGTCCGAGTCCCCTCCATGGATCCCCCAGGCTCTGCCAGGATGCAGCTTTCCCTCCTTTGTAAATCCCTCTATTCTTTCCCCTGTTTTTCTTCCATCTGTTCCCACTGCTGAATGCTTTCTGTCCTTTTTTCCAGTCACGCCTCCCTTTCATACAATGAAGTATACCCGTTTCTCCTACCTATCATCTCATATGTGTTTTTTTTTTTTTCCTAAACATCTTTTATTCTGCACTAAATTTCCTGTCCTGTCATGCTCTTAATTTCTCTCTGAAAACTTTGCAAATTGCCTTTTCTTATAGTAATTGTATTTCCTGTATAACTGTTGTCTCCTCAACCAGTGTCTATCTTCTGTATACTTCTAAAAAAAAGGGGCAAACAAAAAAGACAGAAAATTTACATCCTATATCTTGACTCCTGTTTCTATTGCTTTATTTATTCCTTTTCAGATATCTAGCGTCTTTACAGATGCATTGCACAGACCTTTCCTAACTTTCTGATTTTGCTTCTTAGACATGTTTGCTTCCAGATGTCCCATTCTTTTTGTTATTCTTTCCCCGTATATTCTTTACTTTCTGTTCACTTGTCTGAAACAGACCTTCTTCTCCAGAAGCCCTTTCTGCTTCTGGAAAGAAGTCACAGGACAGTAGGAGGACAGTATGCTTTCTTTTCCCACATGCTTCTGTTATTCCCTCAAGCTCCTGTTTTTTTTGAAACTTGCTTAATCACATTGTAGACCTTGCTTTCAAGAGATCGTTTTGTTTTGTTCCCCCAGCCCTCCACCATCCTCTCTGAGATTCATTCTCTGGAAAGTGGGGCATACTAGATACATTGTCTGTATCCTGGATTTAGTAAAGGGGTAAAAATTTTGAAGTGCACATCTGCCCAAAACAGTGAGTTACATCATGGAGCTTGTGGTGTTTACAGAAGAGCCACCAGAATGTTGAAAAATATTACCAAACCATTAATGATTTTAGGAGCTTAATTTTGTGTAGTTTAGCAAATAGGAAATGGCAGAGCAAAGAGATCAAGGTCTGTAGATACCTACCTGAGATACCTTAATTAAAAAAAAAAAAAAAAATCTTCTCCAGAAATGAGAACAAATATATTGTAAAATACGGTGCGTGGAAGCTGGAGGTAGCAAATGCACATTGAAATACGGTGTGTTTAAGAGCATTCATGTAATTTTATGACTTCTGTTATACAGAAAGTCAGTCTAGTTTTGTTGCAATGCTTGTTTCTGACTTTGTGACTGCAGAAATATGTAATAAACCAGCTTTTTTTTTTTTTTTTTTTGTCATGCCTAAATATTTGTCTGTTTAAGCATAAAATAAAGCTGGTACATTGAAATCCTTTCATTTAACTGCAATTTCACCCTTGCATATTTCTTTGCATATCGTGTGCTGACAAATGCCAATGTCAAATCACTGATGTTGTTGAATATCAGGGACATCCGAAGTAGATTACCACTGATTAATATAATAAAAAAGAATAAAAGGAAACACACTTTTCATTTAATTCTTTCAATAAGAAGTACTCCTGAGCACATGAATCTTGCTCATCTTTTGTGAGGCCCCACCTGGAGTATTGTGTTCTGTTCTGAGGTCCCCAGTACAAGAAAGACATGGACTTGTTGGAGCAAGTCCAGAGGAGGGCCACAAAAATGATCCAAAGGCTGGAACACCTATCCTGCAAGGAAAGGCCGAGAGAGGTGGAGGTTGTTTGGCCAGTAGAAGAGAAGGCTCTTCAGAGACCTTCTTGCAGCCTTTAAATACTTAAAGTTAGCGTATAAGAAACATGGGAACAGACTTTTTAGTAGGGCCTGTTCTGATATGACAAGGGGCAATGGTTTTAAACTGAAAAAGGGTAGACTTAGATTGGACTCAGATTGGACATAAGGACAAGATTTTTTATGATGAGGATGGTGAGACACTGGCACATGTTGCCCAGAAAAGCTGTGGCTGCCCCCTCCCTGGAAGGGTTCAAGGCCAGGTTGGACAGGGCTGGGAGCAACCTGGTCTAGTGGAAGGTGGGATGTGTGGCAGGAGGGTTGGAACTGGATGATCTTTAAGGTCCCTTCCAAGCCTATTCTATGATTCTACAGTCTAGTTCAGACAGTTCCAAACTTAAGCCAGTTATATTATTTGAGACAGAAAAATCAGAAATGAGTTGCATACAGATATGGCATAAAGATCATCCTAAGTATAGAGTATTGACTGTCCTGAAAAATACATAGTCAGCAACAAGAATTAAAAAGTCTTTAAAAATTATAAGATATACAGTAAATGAAACTATTTGTGGTTTACCTTACTTGCAGAAAGAGCCCTCTTTATGTATTGATCCAGCTTTGATATTTCAGGTATGGGTTTGGTTCTACAAAAGTGTGTGTGTTTGCAGTGCGACAATCTCTTGTTAAGATTGCATGAACTTTCACTTTCCCTTGTCTTCAAAAATAAACCTGAATATTCTCTGTATTAAATTGACAAAGTTAAAAAAAATGTATAGTAAGAGTAGTTGTATATGGTCTGTTGATAGCATGTGTGCATATGTGCATCTAAGTGCAAGTTTTATTAAATGTTAGGTTTCAAATATTTGCTTCTGATTGCTTGTTGAATGCCCTACAAACAAGATTTTTTACAGACAGTTTAAATCTATCAGGTATTTGAAATGATGTTGTAAGACAGACTGTAGTGCTGCATTATTTACAAATGTTTTGCCTTTCCCCTCCCCCAGAGTGTTCTGGAAATATAATATAGCACTCTTGTTG